CCTCGTTCTCTTTCCACTTGCATATTATTCCAAATGCTCTAAGATTGGTATGAGCGAGATTACGTGATCTTGTCTATTAATGTTTCATCGTATGAAAGGTTAATAGATTAGCTGACATAATTAATTCTCTGCATATTAGTGTTATTTGAACACAATTTTAGGGGGCATATTCTATCGACGCATTATTCCTTTTTATTCGATGTGATTAATCTTATATACTGGAAATCTAACATTTTTTTTGCACGTAAGAAAAAAAACAGATCAAATTCTTAAGAAATTGTAAACGATATCATGTTGTTATATATATATTGGAATTCAATTATTTTCGCAAGTTGATAATCAGTTTACATGTCTGATATGATGTCTATATACTCAAAAGTCATTTATTTCAAGATCAATCAATTTAAATAAAATTGAAATATTCAATCCAAAAACCTAACCATCAACTCATTTTGATAGTTGTTTAGAAAAATAAAAAGTTGTATACTATAAGGTATATCATATACAGTATGATGCAATTTTAATGAGATAAGTTATTTGCCAAAGACATTCTCTTGTGCATGTGATCCGAGTAGACAATTCGGTGATTTGTGATGTAAGCATCATTTGAACTTTGTTTCACTTTCACACAGCGTGACACCGAATATTTTAGTTTAGATTATGGAATGTATGTATTATATGAGGATTAGGACAGACATATCTTCTAGATATGGTTTATAATGAACGTCAAAAGAATTGGTTACAGTTTTTCTCCAAAAAAAAAAAAAATGGTTACAGTGTAGGTGAAATGTTGATTGCTAATAGTTACAAATTTATCTCAAATAGTAAGTTTTTATTTTTATTCCATGATTTTGCGTACGTAGCAGGAATGGTGAAGTGGAGACTATAGGGACGTTAGAATGAACAAAAAATTGCGTAGAGCAGTAGCTTGGATAGGATGAATGTTTGCTGCAATAATGCAATGTCTGCACACGATCGGTCTACCGACTCACACTGATCTGTCGAAAACTCCACATCGACGTCTATAAACTGGATCGATCAATCGAACACTTGTGTCAGGTCCGATTTTCGTCTTTGTTTTGCAATTTTCGTTCATAATTCCGTCTAAAATCCCCAAACTCCATCAAAACGATTTGTGACATGTAAAAGACTTGATCGCTAGATAGCAAAATAACACATTTTAATCCGAAA